AAACAGAAATATAGAGTTCCCGAAGCCGACTCACTTTTTGCGGAAATAGAGGACCATCATCCGCCGAAGTAGAGGACCATCCCGTACGAAAGAAGTTCCTCTGCGGCCTAAGGGGCGCCCGGCGGCCGGAGCCGGCAGTCAGTCAGTGATGACAGAGATGAACCCGGTTGGTTCCCGAAACCAGAAATACTCCTTTTCCCGATGTCTGTTGGGCACCGCTGCATATGGTGATCTTTGCGTCCAGCGGCGTTTCAAAGAATTTCGCTTCTTCCAACACCATTTGATACCACTATTATTGAAACAGATGGATCCGCAAGAATCAGAGCGTTCATTAGTTACGGTTTGCAGAACCGTAAAAAATTAGGACTGTTTTGGAGATGGGGCAAAAAATAATTTGATTTCTTTCCTAGCTTGTTAGTTGTGAGACCGAGAACTGGATCTGGATCTGGATCTGGATCTGGATCTGGATCTGGAAGCAACCAGCGGCGGGGGAGCGGAGACGACTTCTTTTCCCGAGCGCCCCCTTGGGTGTGGGAACGTGCTGCTGCGCACCTGTTGGTGGTTGGTTAGTGGTTAGTTGTTCGTTGTCGGTTATTAGTTCGCCATTCCCGTCTCCAGGGCCCTCTCCAGCCCAATAATATCCCCAGCTGTACGAAATGGATGAAGTGGCAGGAAATGCGGCTCCCGGGGGGGGAAGAGAGGGGGGAAAGGGCCATGGAAGAGTGTATGTATGTTGTTACAGGGTGGTTAACTTCGCCAGCGGCCCCCTTTCCCGGGGCAGTCCCTGCTCTCCCCTGCTAGAGGGGCACCCTAATCCGTCACCCCATCCGACTTCAGAATGTATTCGTTGGGTTCGGCAACTCACCACCAGCATCCAACCAAATCTAGCGGATCAACGGCGCATCAACTTAGTTCCTGGTCAGCTCGCAAGTTGATATTATCACGTCCTACACCGTCCATATGATGGGGGGCCACCTCCCATTTCATCACTCCTCAAACACCCGAGGAGCCGGCAGGCGGATTTGAACCCGGGTCGACTGGGAGCAGAAGTCAGGCCTTAACCTCTGCCAGCCGCCTGCCATGTATGTATGTATGTGTGTACGTATGTACGTATGTACGTATGTATGTAGCAGGAGGTGGGGGTTGCGCTGCGGCCCCAGAAGAAAGGGAGGGGGAGGGG